GCCCAGTTATGTTCATTCCAGTTCTCAAAACATCCAACCTTCGTTTGATCCTATCACCTATAGTAGTATGTATAAACACATTTGTTCTCTCAAGGTGTAGACCGCACTTGGACTAGACAACTTAAGTCCTGCCTTTTCTAAACACGGTGTTCTGCCAGTTTCACATTTTTGCACACAGCTAATCTTCCACTCGAAGTCCGAACTATTCCGGATTGTTGGCGCCCAGTGAGAATTACTCTCATCCCCAAAGGAACGTCAAAGGCCCCAATAGCGAAGCGTTTTAGACCAATTGCTCCCACTTCCCACTGGTTTGAAATTGATGGAGCGATCAGTTCTGCGTCGTCTTCAGTTATCCCATTACCACCCCCGATGACACTTATCAGTTTGCATACAAACATAACCGCTCTACATTAGATGCTGTTTCTTCCTCAGTTCATTTAATCTGCAAGTCCCTTAACGAGAAAGCCAAATATGTACATTGTGCATTACTGGACTAATCTTCCGCTTTTGACTCGGCACCCCGTTCTCGTTTACTTAACAAGCTCCAATCTTTTGACTGTCCCGCTTCTCGTATTCAAGGTTAGTTTTCGCAAAGATATCAGTATGTTAAATTGGGAAGAAGACAGTCAACTGCCTCACTCAATAGCTCGGGTGTACTTCAAGGTGCTGTCCCATCACCCTACCATTTTACGACTTATATCGGTGACTTACCTGTTACTCCGCCTGTTCGACATTTTAAGTGTGCTGATGACATTGCCATTTCTGTTCCGTATCTGACCGATCAGAACTGGTTGAATACAACACAAACGTATCCCACCTCGTTTCATATTCCACCTTGTCCGGTCTTAACCATAATCCTGAAAAATGCCTCGAATGTATTTCTACTATAAACCGTTCCCCATCTCCCTCCGATTCAGATTCACGGAAAGCCGTTGAACTGGTGCAGCCATGTGAATTACTTAGGTGTCACACTTGAAAGTAACCATGACTGGTCCTTACATACCCAGAGTGTTGCTCGCAAGTTAAAAAGTCTCTCTTTTCAGATAAGAAGGTTACGCCACTTCTGTTCTGACTCGTCGGTGATAAACGCTTTCACTCAATAATATGTCCTCCCTATACCCCTGTAATTTCCCCTGGTTTGTTGAAGACCGATTTCTAGCTTCTGAGGCGCGGCCTCAATGAATAACCGTGTTTCCCGAGTTCCGTTGTATGTTCTCGTTGGCAATATGTGTAATGCTCATATTGATGAGTAATTGAAGTTTGCTGACATCCTATCTGATTGCACCCATCCTCTACATATTGACTTGTATGCATGCAAATCCCACCACTCCACCCGTTCCAAGAACAAACTTATCCCGTCTCGCATATCCGCACACAAACTCTTTGGTACCCTATCTTGCCCGGATATTGAACGACAAGGACAGTGTTCGATCTGAGCTTTCTCATGCAGTTAGTAATGAACTCATATTTTTGTACGATTCACATCCCACTTTTTCACCTCTCTTTACCAGAAGTGTAAAGCTGATCTAATTTTTGGCTAGCTAAAGCTTGAATACAATACAATACAATGTCCCAAAGCAAAGATTCCACCATTCTCTCTGTGCGTTGCAAACTTCATCCTTAGTTCACAAGCATTTTCATGTTTGTGAATAATTCACCAAACGAATGTTCGCCAACACATGATGAGATTTTTTGAACTGTCTCATTCCTGTACCTATTTTGGACACAACGCTCCTGTTCTCAACGCCTATTGTGACAGCATTATCTCATACCCGGTGCCCATTTTAGTCCACTGTTCATCCATTATTATTGACCTTACGATACACCTTTTACGCTACCACTAGCAATTGATTTTCCTTACGAAGACTTTCATCTCATTTCACTGCAATGCGTGAATCATACGGAAAATCCACCCGTGTTGTAGGAAGTCTTTCTTGAATTGAGGTAGTCTTTTCACACCAGCAACATCTCACCCTATTCGTCCATTCCAGATACATGTTGCCCTACGACGTTTGGAAAGCAACAGTAGACGTCGTATTTTCAATGGTTTACACTTTCTTCCCCAGAACTGACCACATTCTATAGGAAATATCACCTAATCCCTTGTCCTTAAACAACCATCGTTCACCTAGATAAGTCTGCTCGGGCACAAAGAGATAACATCAATAACCCATCGTTTCATCAATATTTTTGTTTCGCTCGGTTGCAAATCGTAATTCGAAGTGAATTATCAGATTTTTTATGTGATAGATAGGGGCGAGACCTGTGCCCATCAACTAATTCAGTTAGGTCTATTTTTTGCCTCTGCTTAAGAAAATATGCGAGCGTCGTGAACTTAAATAGAACAGCGAATGATGTATGACGTGTCTTACAATAAACTACCCCTCAACAATGTTTTTTGTGATCACGCAATCTTGCAAAACGCAAGGTAAATGCATACACGACAGGGCAGGGGGCCAAAAGCGCTCATCGGAAGTCATGCATCAATTATAAGGAGTCTGAAAATCAATATTTGCTAACTACTTTCGAGCTCAAAGCGGTAGACAGTGGAGCCATTGAAATAACCCCTATTAAGACATTGCCTACATTATCGTGATAGAAACGCAAAATTAATTACATGCACACAGCTCCTCAGATCCCCTAAATTAACTTCCTCCCCCCCCCCCCCATCAATATGCATGCATTCATTTGCACGATTTTCAAGACACCAGTTCAAGCCACTGGTTTGTGAAACACGAACAATCACGGATTCTTAAAAAACTATCGTGTAACTGAGGTTGTGTGAAAACACGGATAACTAAAAAAACACGAGGCTCGTTTCAATGGAAGTCCTTGAAATGAGACCTGCACATTAGGTGCAGGGTAGCCTATCAACCGCAAAACGATTTTACGATTTGGATAACGACATTGTGTGGAATACTTGGCAAATGGATGAGGGACAGGTGCTGAGAACAGTTTGTGAAGTATTGCTTACTATTCGCGTCATCTCCGTGCGTATCTTGACCTATTAAAAACATGTCGCACAAGTCTAAATGATTCTAACAGAATATTCAGATCATTTTACTCAGAGTATAATCAATCGAATATTCATCGACCAGTACCAGTTTTATTGCCTTCCATGGTTAATATCATTTTGAAAACAAACAAAGGAACGGTCGGTGAGAAATGTTTAAAATGCTTACGCAGACAGATGGAGCCCTGTCGTGGATACGGAATGAATTGGTCTGAGTAGCTAAACCGTAATCACATAGGCAATAAATACCCTTGTGTTTTGTCTGTGATACCCCCACGTCCGTGGAACTGCACTACTAAGAACGCTCGATCAGGTTAGAACGGCTGTGTAAAGCATTACGGTTTTCATTCGTTTTTTCTTCTATGCAGCCCAAAAAGGATGTTTGTCCACAGAACCTGAAATCTCCACATAATTTGTCTTTAAAACACCAATTAAAATTGATTTTAGCAAGTATGTGCGACCTAAGTACACTTCAAGCACATTAGGCCATAATTAAAATGAGCACGATGAAAGCAGTTAGCAAGACCGCGGATTGAACTGCATTAATACTAGCAGGTTTGTCATGTTTTAGATTTGTTTCATGCGTCGGCGGACCGTGAGGACTGCAACCGGACATGATCCGTTTTTAAGGTTAGGTAGTTTGCAGGTGTTGTTAAGAGGCCTCTGAAAGCTGCGGAGCTCAATACCTTGTATTAGTACAATATGAAACAATCATTCTTCGAGTTCACACTTTTTGCGTTGACATCGGGATATTGCTTCAATGTTTCTTAATAGACCGCAGTCGCAATCCGCCGGAAAATTGAATTTGGGGGCAAAACCCTCTCCCATCCCACAGACACACACACACATCTACTTCAACAAATGAGGCTATCAAGCATGCTGACCGTGAAAAAGGGTTTTCGTTTTCATCCATGCTCAAATGATGCTTATCTCATACGATTCCACCTTCTGGGGTCACACGGTTTCAAAATCCAAAGAAGGGAATAGGCACAAGGTGACCACCACCGTCTACTCTTCCGAAGGAAATGGGGATGTTGAGTCAGAGTTGGAACGGAGACGGGGACAAAAAAGAGGTTCATCAAAAAGAAAAAATAAATTTGCTGAGCTTCGTAGAAAACTCTGAATGTGTATGAGTGGTGTTGGGTGGATTCAAGCACGCACAAAACACTGTGCACAATGACCGAACTCGCGCGAGCGCGCACGCGAAAACAGAGGGAACCGCCTGTGCAACACCAGTGTGCATCCACACTAAACAGAGAGACAGAGAGAAACGCACAAGCACCATGGAATTGTATCACCTGTGAGGAGGACGGTATAAGTCAGTGAGTGAAAACAGAATGGATGGCGCAGCAGTGGATACTGTGATTTTCACATAAGAGACGAAATAGATGAACGAGAAGCAAATTAGCAGGATTAAACCCGAGACATGTGCCAGTACAGAGATTGTAGAACAAGGTGAACACGACAGCTAATTAAAATTTAAAAAAAAGAAAAAGAAAACAGAAAAATGTGGTTGAAGCGAGAGACAGAATCACGAGTGGCTGGCACGGCGAAATAGAACGCGATTGCACAGTAGAGACTATCAAGCAAGATGGCAATGGCAATAAGGGTTAATTGATTGCACGCGGTTCAAGTCTGGTTGTCTTGTGCGTCACAAATAGTGCGGCAAATTGTGCTCGTTGCGGCGATTACATAGAAGTTGCCATCTTTAGAGGTGTAGAATAACTCAGTGATGCTACGTTTCGTCAGGTTCAATAAACGTGCCTGCTCTGTATGCTTCTTTCGTGAAGAATACGCATATACAACTGTACAGCACGTAGACATAGCAGTCGAACGAATAGGGACTAATCTAGCGACCAATTAGTGGTGCGATTCTATACAGAGGAGCGGGGGAAAGCATGAGTGTTCTTTTCTAGGGTTTAGCTAAAAAAGCGAACACTGGAACAGACCACTCTTGACCCAAGTAAGTTGAAAGTAAAAACCATCGTCACAAACGGAGCGATTTCATGACCAGGTCTGCTATTGGGCGGAAATGAAGAGCGGAACCGCGGATTCGCTTCAAACGAACACCCCGCAAATGCAACCGAGGTAATTGGCAAACTTCCATCTCCCAGTGTACAGGATCCTCGTGTAAGCCACTAGGAACCATGGAGGGCATTGTGGGTGGGTGGGATTCATCTGATGCTGCGTTCGGATAAGGCCGTATAGCTGGACGGTCAGCAGCCCAAGAACAGCGGACTAGGTACGGCAAGTGTGTGTCGTAGGCATAGCGACAACCAGGAGTGACCTCCAAGGCTTCGATAATGCTTTGTAACACTTGTTCGGCCGATTTGGTACTGGTTGTATGTACACTCCAAGGAAATCGGACTTCGCGCGGTTTTGCCAAAAACTCCGCATCCGCGTCCGAGGAGAAGTGAGAGGTTTCTTGCGGTTTGCTAGTGGGATGTGAAAAGAGTAAACGCACGTAAAACGAAGTGGCATTTGCTTCTGCATTACTGAATAGTAAGTATGCAGTACAAACAAGAGACGAGTGGAACGCGCGAGGTTAATGCTGACGCATTATGAATAATTGTTAGAAAGTAGAAAACTATCTTTATTTGGAAGTTTTTCCTGAAGCGGAATAGATTCGAGAAACTCGAAAATCATAATCTCTTTGTACCAAAAACGAAAAACGAAGATAAATGCTCAAACGACTAAAGTGCAGGTATTTGTATACAAATACAAATACGAAGATACAGCTCTACTAGGTTTACGGGAATTATCAGACAATCTTATTATGCGAAGTGTGATTGTCATTGCATTTCGTTCTTTTTCTTCAGCCGATAGTGAAATACGGTCACTCCGAATAGGAAACATCACGATGTCAGACCTACTCGACGGATCGTTAGAGCTAAGAGGCGCAGAAGCAATGTTAAAGTAGGTTAAAATAGGACCATTGTGACACTTAAGCAAATGCATTAGGTTCGAAATGCCATAGACGACAAAGACTGAACATTTAGTAAGCACAGAACTGGTCGAGATGGCGTTTTTTCTATGGTGGATATCTCGAGATGCGGTTTTTTTGCTCTAAAGTCGCATATTAGGTATCAACATTTTTCTTTGTGTAGGGCGAACATCGACAGATGGAGAAATGCGTATTCGTCGTGAATAACTTACTCCTTTTAATTAATAAAATCAGCTATCGTTGCAGGTAGTTAAATGTTAAGATTCACTTTTTAAAACAGTGTTGTAAGAGAGTTAATAAAGAGTACTGGACTTCTATCTGTTCCTTGTTAGGGTTCATACCAGTGTGTTCCACCAATATCCCTACTAAGATCCGAACGGTAAACTATTAGGTTCGGGGTCCTGTCTGTGAATCCGCAGGGAACTAAACCGAGATCATCTTCAACGCAAATGCTGGTAGTTGATTTGAGGCTCAAGAGTGAAGGTTTCGGCTCCCAGCCCCAGGATGAATTTGAATCCCAGCAGAGATACAAAAATAGTACAGATAGCAGATTAGTCCAAAAAAAATGGGCAAAACAACTAATATTTGCTCTATGTTGACCGTCACAAACATTACCAGCAAACAGAACCATGGTACTTTCAGTTTCAGCTTCTGCAATCTGATGCTTTTGGAAATAAATGAACTACCAAGGAGCGGGACCCATATCAAAACATCAATGGGCAGGATCGGTATCTGTAAATTTGCAATGGTGCAATTTACGTTTGACTTAGCTCTGACTCGAGCCAATTGTAAGTCTGGTGCTTCATGAGTGTATAGTCAACTAGATGAACCGAGGAATAGGTGGCGTGAAGTCTGAATAGTAGTCAAAATTAAAAGTGACACAAGGCTTTATGAAACTCAATTTTACAATACTAACTGCATGTGCAATCATCATCATCATCTTCATCGTACAGTGAAATACCGTGAAGCCAACTTCACTGACCGCTGCCAAATCACTGACCGCCGCCCATTTTTATGCTGATAAATATGGACATTCAGCAAAATGCAAACGACGAAACGGTTTTAACCGAGAAACCTAGTCAAATGGACATAAGAAGGGTGTGTAGTTGGGGTTTTCCCCCACCGATGAAAAAGTTCTTCACACTTCATTGGACCACACTATCGCTCATTTAACTTGAGCACATGCCCTGTGAGAGGTCCATTTGCTTCAATGGGTGTATGTGGTTGATGACCGATCCCAGAAAGTGGATTACTAACCAATGCATTAGAGCACGAAACAACAACTTGAAAGACTTCCGCGACAGGGTAAAGGAGAACGCACAAGTGCTTTGCTCTTGTACTGAATCCACATATCATCACAGACTTGGGTGGTGGTCACGCAGTGGCTTGGTTTAGTCACCAGTGTGCTTTGGATCCCACGGTTCAAGGTTCGAACCCGAGAACCGACAGCCAACTTTGATGGTAGGCAGCTTCACTATCGTCCGGTTCAATAGTACCCCCGACAGATTAGGTACGATCGGATTAGTGGATTGAGAAAATCCACAGGTCGCACACTTCTGGGCTACAGAGGAGCACAATCGATCACGCTATATGGTATTTTTTCTCAAACAAAGATGCCACTATTAACTATAAACGATATGTGACACGAATTCCATTCCATTTGCTGAATTTCTTGCCAATGTAGTGATGAATGTGCAGTAGTTTACATCTGTGTATGTGAAATAGATAGATTCAGCAATAGCGAGCTTCTTACATGGAGCTGGTTCGGTTTTCAACGAATCATTACGAAAAACGAACAGATGAATAATCTCAGAAACGAAAAATGACTCGAGGACCTTGTTGATAAGATGGTCGAGTTTCGCTATTGCTAACGGAAATATACGATCGCTGGGTGAACGTTAACTATTCGACAGAAACGGATGAAAAGGAATACGGAAAAGAATTGGCAAGATAATAGGATAAGAACAATAGGACAATAGGATGGACAATGTAGAACGGGTTACACAAACTGAAGAAATAAAGGTTCAAATAGGTAATCGCTTACCTCGTCGTGAAAAAACCACCGAGCGCTTTGAACACTCCTTTGCCCCAGGTATTCTGATGATCCAACGTACTGAACCAAATTTGAAACGTGATGGTATATAAAAAAAAAGCATACTTACAAACAGGTCAAAACGAAAATAGCATTAAAGATCACCAAACTTCGAATTTCAATAAAAATACAGGAAACGCTGTGACGATTTTATTAAAATTGAATTACCTTGGAAATTCGTAATCAGTCTAAAATGAAGTACCTTTGTGGAACTCAAAAAATACGAGAGTACGGATATGTGAAGTGGGTACTTTTGTTTCACCTATTATTCTCAAATAAATTAAATGGTGCTTTCCTTCTAATTCTTTCACACAGCTACTTTTGAAAGGATGGTAACCCGAATCACGACAACGAATTGCAGGGTTGATACATGTATAAACAACAATTAGATAGTTCCAAGAGAGGTCTTGGGGATTGAACCGGTTGCTGAACTTGTGTAGAACTTGACAGTAAGAAACAACAGGACTACGCTCATTCCTTGATCACATTCTTGCATAACACTGATGAAAAGAATTGGTCGCAGCAGAAAATGTCGGACAAAAAGCAGGTACTGATGACGGTAGTCCACGTAGTCTCTGGATAACCATGGGAAATCAGAGATGAGGTTCACACAAATTAGCGACATGCTGTTTACTTTCAATGACCGGACCACGGCAAGTTTCCATTCCACTCTCACTGAGAGAATAGATGGCAGAACTAAAAATTCAACGCGAACACCTGTACGACTTGTCGGTAGACGTTATTTTGATGAAGTGTTCACCCTGTTTATCTGAACTGCTTTCGAAACATTCCCAGCAATGAAAAGTACAACAGGGGTGGCTAAGACAAACGGTTCTGATTATCGATCAATTCGACGGTAAAGGTTTAAGAGATCTACTGAGCAGTAAGCACAGTAATCATAAAGATGAATTCGAAGGGTGAAGCAGATTACACAGTCCTATCTGATATGACACTGGGTGAAACAGAAATTTCAGTTGACAACCCTACTTCGTGAAGAAATATCGCAAGGATGAAATGGATTCTCTCAAACAGTTGCACTTATTCTTTTGTACCTTAATGGCTATGGCCAAGCTTAAAATATCCCTTTCAAACAATACCCATACATCACTCGAATTCAAATGGAAATTCATGTAAAATATGTCCACGACGCGACGCCATTAGATTAGATTTTCTTCCATGGACCTCTGGTGCCAAAACAGACAGGATGGCGTTCTTAACTGAAGATGAAATTCACAACTAGCCTGAACCACAAGCTTTCACAGTCGACCAAATAGATCCGCCCCCGTGTGGTGTTCGTAACCCCCTCATAGCCAAGTGAAATACTTCTGCATGTTTTATTTGACTACGTGTAGTCTAATCTCTGATTTATGCTTGTACATCTAATCGAGAGGGAATAATTAATGAATCCACTTTCCCATAAGGTGACATTGCCATCATCATCCTCGTCATAAGAAATTATCTGAGCCGGGTAACGTTTTCGAAGTTTTCGCTGCTTGCGTACAAGATATTTACTCCGGACAGTATGAGTGCGCACACAAAACTGTGATCGGGGTAATCAGAGTGAAGGAAAATAAATGCTTATTAATTATTATGTGGAAATAAAACCAGCGGATAATACACTGCGGCCTCAGGATGGTCGGGGGTGGGTGTCTAGGGTTGTGGCTGGTCACCCTTCCCTTACACCTAGTGAAATGCTCCCATATGACCAAGCGTCTCAAATAGCCTCTGTTGAGGAAGTCCTACTCACTGCCTTCTCTTGGCGGAGGTGTTTTCCCACCAAAGTGAGAGGACGAAAACCCGACATCCGGGGCTATAACCGGGTTGGCGGACTACTGGTAGTTCACCCAGGGGAGTTGGCCAAAAACCCCGATTCCAAGCCAACCATGAGGAGTCGTAAGAACCAAACACAAATTCCTGGTTGTGGCAGTGGTCACCGGCTCGATTGGGCATTGGGGTGTATTGGACACCTTGGACGTCACACCCCCTACGAAGGGTGTATGATTCGATGAACTGGACACCGGCTCCCAATGGACTGCGGTTTTCACACACCGCCCAGCTGCCTTGCGGGTCAGGCTTTGGCTAGCCGAAGGCTCCGGTTGTGGATTCCCCAAGAAAATTCACCTGCCTTGGCCTGAGCAACCTGGCAGTATTTAGCCCAAGCCAATCGTGGAACGTTTTATTTTTTATAAAGATTATTGTAACATGATTTGGTTGGCACACAGTCTGTCCTTAGATAAGCTAGCTAATAATAATAATAATAATAATAATAATAATACACTGCGGATAATACAAAAACATACAGGCTGGTAGGATCTCGCGGAGGTGTAGCTGCCGAAGGTACTTGATCGGATGTTCGGAACCGTAACGCTTCATCACGAAGAGCGGAAGCCTCGGTGCCTTGTACAGTGTGCAATACTTTGGATGGAGCTTCAGTGTGACTGGCTGGAATCGATGGTCTGTCCGCATCGGCCGACCAGGCACCCGTAGATAACCGCTGTTCCGCATCTTTAGCATCAGATTCGGAATCTGTGTTCTGCAAACCCACCGAAACGTCAGTTTGAACAGACTCTCTTAACCCTGTTTTCGATTCCCCGGTGTTCGGACTCGTACTCCGTTCATCTGCCCCCGGGATAGACAGCGCCTGATGCGCCAAGCTTTGACCCATGGCTCGCCACACATCTTGCACAAGTGTGTTTGCAGTTTGTCGCACTTCTGCATCGCCATAAGAATCTGAGGACGTACTACTGAAAGTAAGACCTAATTTGGTGGCTGGATCATTCACCGACAGTCCTGTAACGCGCAAAGTTCCTCGAGGGGACTCCGCTCTCTCTTCCTTAGCGACTGAGTCCACTACGACATTCCGGGGCGATATCTTATGACCGGATGGCTGCGGTTTGCCGTGAGAAGGAGGGGATTCTCGTTTGTAAGGTTGAGAGGTTACAAGGGCCGGAGAGCGTTTGCTACTGCGATCAACATTCGTGGGTGACGGTTGAGGAGTGACATTGGAAACCGCATGGGCGGCAGAATGACGAAGAGACGGGGCGGTATGTGTTGTCGAATTACTATCGGTGCTACCCGATCTTCCCGTGGGCACTGGGGCAGTAGGAGTTTGTCCGGCAGGTGAGGATCTTTTAGAAGGTTGGCCAACAACAGTTGGCTTTTTAGTGGAACACATTGGAACTGGAGCCGTGGTAACTGCAGCCCTAGAAAAAAAGTAATAACGGGATAGGCTATGAACGCTGATTAGTTGGTGAGAGCAAAAGCAGTATGAAAATCATGTTAACAATTTCAGCACTCTTTCCAATGTGAACATATCGGGAGATATAGGATAGAGCAACTTGTGAATCCGGAGTGAATAAACATATATTGAACTGATAACAATGCGCTATCGCGTTTAGGCTTGCATTACACAGAGATGAGTGGNNATGAGTGGGATCCGTGCCAGTCGGTGACACTCGACGCGACAGCAGTAAAACATGTCAGGAGAAAAATCAGAAACTGTCTGACTAATCCACTACTTTGTGGTACTTACACCGGAGGCTTTTCTTAACTGAACATCCAAGTAAAATCAGCTGTCATAGACATGTACTGTTGGAATCATGAAACGAGAATACGGACCAGTCAGAGAAAATGTTTAATTGATATGACGAACGGTAGGCCAGGCTGACTATGAGCCCTGTCCTACTCAACGTAGTCGGAAAATGAGACGAGCTTTTCATGCGTTCCACTCAATGACGTACAACGCCAAGGTGTAATCTAATCGACTAAATCAAAAAATGCGAAAAAACTGGATCGAAAAANCATTTTATGAACGAGGGAGAAGATAAAGAGCTGATAAACAGATCAGTAAAGAGCAGCGTATTTCTGTGATCAATGTATTATTCATTTTCTGACGACCTGGAGCTGAACAGACATCAGGAGAAAGGAAACTGAACTCTTACGATCGGTACGGTCACCTTAGGAACACCACCAAAGGATCTAGTTTAACTGTTTAGAGAAAACCACTCACCCCAACCCCCAGAAGTTTGATTAATTGTCAGAAAATTCTCTGTGCGAAACTGTTCGAAATGACCATCCTAGAAGTGCATCAGGACGTGGCATTTATAGGTCCATCTAGCTGTTTTGAACCTGGCCTGTGGGGATGTAGCAATTGTGCGACGTCCGTCTCACGGAGTTTTGGGAAGTCTGATACATCTAATGAACAACAGAGAAAATAGCACTCGTCAACCTAATTTAAACTATTTGTCTGCATTCAGTTGCGAAGCTGACTGCGTCAAGTTCTCTTTGTGGAGGCCAAAATGTCTCGACAGAACTCAAGAAGTGCGGCTCGACAGGGACAAGAGATGCGGCAATATGACACGAGCATGGAAGACTGGACTAAATTTAGGACTGCAGCATTATGTTATCCTTAATTATGAGAATTACGCTTCTCGTATATCAAACAATAATGAACAACCCCGTCCTAGCAGATGATTCACCAAGCCGGAAACACACTGCTGAGTAGAGTAGTAGTAGAGTAGTCACAGTTAATTTACACTTTTACCCGAAAAGACTGTCAATTAGAAATGGGTGATCACCACTCATAGGTCCGTTCATGCACACACAAACAAACACACACACACCTNACACCTGAATCGTTCGTGGCTAGTAGTGAGGAAAGCCGATCGCTTTGTGTTAACCTTTCCTTACTCGTGAAAGACAAGGTACAGTCGGTCGTTGCAAGATGGACGGACGATGACGAAACACATCAGGTTTCAATGAACGAATCAGGTCCAAGTTTTCGTGAAAAATGGGAAAAAATTCAAACTTCTTATTCTGGAAAAGCTGAAAAGCAGACCGCTTCAATCGTGATAAATGCAAAGAGCGTTTTCTTCAGACCGGATCAGTTTAGAGTGGAACATGGTTTCCCTACACCTATATAAATCTTTCCATGGGGTATCGATGATGAAATTAGTCGAATTCTGTGGAATTTGAAGAACGGTTATCTTTTAAGACTGTCATCATTCAACTTACATTTTATTCAGAATATCTGCAGTAATAACCATGAAAAAACGGGAAGTTCACCCAGTATGGATGCATAAAGCTTACCTTGCTAACACAACCATCGTTTACCGAAAATGTAACCTGGACTGATGAGGTCATCTTCTACCGTCATGCAGAGAGTACCAGAAAACCCCAAGTCTATTGGGCACAATCCCGAAATTGTCGTTTCTCTTGGGATACATAACAAAATGCTGCTGGTACGGCAAGCCAAGTTCTCACATCCCTCAAATAATGAGCAGCTGCACCATCCTGATGAAAATAAATCCTCGAGAAACAAAGATTGAATGCACTCAATGACCAACGTAGAAAACACGTGTAAAATAGTCGTTCCAATGGTTTCTTTGTTAGGAAAATATGGATCCAGCAACAGTTTGTTATGCATCCCAAAAGAAACAACAATTTCGGAATTGTGCTTACAAGATGATCGCATCAGTCCAGATTACATCTTCGGTAAACAACGATTGTGTTAGCAAGGTGCGCTTTCGAGTCAAGCATATCTAAGCTTTGTGCATCCGTACTGTGTGAATTACTCGTTTTCTCACCGTTATTACTGCGAATATTCTGAATAAAATGGAAGTAGTATTGTACTATATTGAGGCTTTACTGAGTTTCATAGAAGCATTCAGCGAAAAAGAGACCACCATCACAATACTGAAAAAAGGGGAAAAGTGGGAAATCAAGCGTGTAAAAATGTGAAGTAACTAATAAATGCACTAGAAAAGCTCAGAGCGAACACTCTCTTTGTCAGTCAGTACTCGTGCAAGATAGAGTAACAAAGCGTTTCTGTAGGCAGATAGCCGAGAAATGATCAGTTTGCATCTGGAACGGATGGAGGAGTGGAAGTTGCATGCACACAGATCAGCGTGTAAAAAATGGGAGCAGTCAGATAGAATCCGATGGGTCTCGTAAACAGGAGGCATCTGGGATTATTTGGGATTGAGAAGGACTAGACAGATAGGAAAGATGGGTTTTCAAATGAGTACCTAAGACTTTGGGGCACGGCATACTTCGCGGTAGCCTAAATCGACGAAGGGGGTTTTCTTTGCGAACTCTGACAGGATCCTTCAACTCAAAAGTCTGACCCACAAGGCAGTGGGGCGTAAATCCAACGCGGGAGCGTGAACGAAGCACCCGTGTGGGAGCTTCTAGAGAACTGTCACGCAAGGCCTTCGGGTTTCTGTTCAGTGTTTTTTTCAGTGGTGCGTTGGTTGACGGTCCGCTTTTCGGGATCGACCCTTAGCGTCATGCACCCAATGAGACAAGCGGAACGTGGACGGGACAGCACCTTATTGGCTGGGGGCTGCCTACCTTTGGCGGGCGGTGGCTGTTCAATGAAGTGCGAAAACACTTCTTCCACCGTCGAGAGGAAGCAACCGGTACGCCGCTCCTACGTCCACCTAGCGGGGTTTGTTGGCCGGCAAACTGACCCCTCATCGTGTTTATTTGTTGGAGTGGCCTCTCTAGGGGCGAGCATGGATAGAAGAAGGAAGCACGATGCCCAAGCAGCTGGCCTTATGAGACTGAGCTTTGTCTGGCCTCCACCCGTTGACCTCTCAGACATGATTGGATCTACGGCTGTGAAAAACCATCCTGTATCGCTCGCAGGGTCATGGAGGCACATAAGTCATCACACCACGTCAAGGTGCAGAATAGAATAGATAGAATATTGTCAGCAGACTTTAAGCACGCATCAATATGAGCATTACACATATTGCCAAAAAGAACATACAACGGAACTCGGGAAACACGGTTATTCATTGAGGCCGCGCCTCAGAAGCTAGAAATCGGTCTTCAGAAAACGAGGGAGCAATAAAGAGGTATGGGGAAAATTTATTGTTGAACAAAAGCTCTTATCACCGATAAATCAGAGCAGAAGGGACGCAATCTTCTTATCTGAAAGAAGAGAACTTTAAGCTTGCGAACAACAGTTTGCTTATGCAAAGACCAGTCAAGGTTACTTTCAAGTGTGACACCTAAGTAATCCACATGGCTGCACCAGTTCAACGGCTTTCCGTGAATCTGAATCGGAGGGAGATGGGGAACGGTTTATAGTAAAAATACATTCAGGGCATTTTCCAGGATTAGGATTACGAGTGGATAAAGCGCAATAAGGAACGAGGTGGGATAAGTTCGTGTTATATGCAGTCAGTTTTGATTGGTTAGATTTAGAAACAGAAATGACGATATCACCAGCATACTCAAAATGTCATGCAGGGGGAGCAATAGGTAAGTCACTGGCTTGCATAAAGGAAATCCAACTGTCTTATTTCACTTTTGATCAGAAAAGACAGTCATTGCATTTCAGCCCTCCTGCTACATTTAGCTGCACGTTCCTTTTCACGACAAAGACATTTAAGAAAATGTGCTGATATTTTGTCATGTTGAAGGGACAAAATTATCACAGGACAGCACATCAAAAACATGGTTTAACACCTTTAATAGAAACGTCATGTTGTCAACCAGATTGTGTTTAGGAGAAAACAGCCAGTAACTATTTGAGAGACTCTATTTACAGAGCAATATTGTCTGGGGAAAGATCTCGCTGACGGAACATGTGTTTAGGTCGAGTAAAAGAAAAATGTCTTGAGTGAGTAAATCTTAGGTCAGGATTAAGTTATGATCACTGGTGCCTAAGAGGGAGAAGCGTTTGGCAGAAAATGTCATCGGGATTTGTCATGGTATGATCTAGATGAATTTTCTGTATAATATTAATGTCACTGAGGTTTAGGCAGAATAAAGGGTGCAGGAGTGTGTGATTAAAGTCACCAGTTATTAGGTGCAATCTGTCAGCAAGAGATGGGGCAATAAGCGGTAGGAAATGATCATAGTGTCAATATCTGAAGACCTACAGTGAAGTGCAATGTTTAGATTGATGGCGATAAAAAGGAGAACAAGAAAATTTGGGATGATCGACGACAGGCAAGCTATCAAGACCACTTTATGAATACTTGGAAAGTACTTTGGACTTGCCACACCAGTGAAAGTTGGCGTTGCTAATCACACCGATTCCCGATTTCTTCCTGCACCGTTGTTTATCCTATCTGAAGCACACGAAATTATCCAACTGGACCACGAAATCATCTACATCATCACTGAGTGATGACTCCTGGAGACACAAGACACGAGAGGTGCGAAATTCCTCTCACTGGAGCAGGTAGGATAAATCTGCAAGCTTCCCAAACAAAGAACGGACATAGCTTACACATTTTACATCATCTTACTCGGAGTAGTGAGACCGAGGGCAGTTTGCCAACCGGCAGGAATGCGTTCTCCGCGTTTGGAGTATTTAGGCGGTTGATCAGTGACTGCCAATCTAAACAACGCAGCACGATTTTTCATCAAAACATCCTTAATTTTTAACATGAATTCTTTTGTTTATGGGCAAAATACGCATACAGAGTAATGTGGTCGATAAGTTCCAGAATGCAACGGTGGTGATAAATTAAGTGCAGCCGTTAAACAATAGTCATGGAAGGTAACCATTCTTCAAATTCCACACGGTCCCACTAAACCAATTCTGTCATCGTTACCTCATGGAAAAATTTCTATGGAGGAAACACTGCAGATTTGAAAATAGTTGCGTGTGTGCATTTTCACACTATTTCTGAGCTACTTCGCAGTTACTGGCTTCTTCCGTGAATCACTCTGAAACAATCCAATTTGAAGAAAATGCTCTGCATTTTTAACAGTTGAAGCGGTCTGCTCTGCGCCTTGCCTTTAATAAGAGGATCGAATTCTTCGCATGTTTCCGTTGCGTTCATCTTGCAATGACTGAGAACTGTGACTTGATTTTCACCAGCAGCGAAAGGTTAACACAAAACGGTCGGTGTTCCGCATCACAAACACACGCACACACACATAAACGACTCAGGAGAGAATGTGCGAATGGGCCTGAGAGTGGTGATCATCCACTACCAATTGACACGCTTTCATCGGATAAAAGTGCAAATGAACTGTGGTTGAAATTTCTACTCAGCAGTGTTTTTGACTCGGATTAAAAAAACACCGACGAGTATTACTCTGGATTGGGCGACCCGAAGAATCGTGATTCCAGGAAAATCATACCGGGGTTTGATATTTTTTTCTTGAAAGTGCTTACTTTCGGTTATGGGAATTTATAGTCAATCATGGCCTAAGTTACACACTTATCAAAGCAAAGTGATGCCATTTTCTGAAATACCTCCATAAAGGAACAAATCCCGAATTCCAGTCTGAATCCATTGCAACTCTGTCGCCCGCGGAAAAATTGGTCCCAATCTCTCGTATATAGCAAAAAAGATTTCCTAAAATTAGCATACACTGTTCATGTAGCCTGATCTTATTGTATTGGATATACAGATATTGCTGATTTTCTCCCGTGAGTTCATCCCTTTATTCATAATCTCCTCCAAACGAGGCTTCATAAAGTTTTTACGCTGATTTCTCCCCGTTTCGTTTTCAACATATTCGTTGACTTTGATGCGCAAATAGATTATAAACGATCTGTTCATTACAATATCGAGAGACGGGAGATATTAAGTTCTTGTGGGAATCATTATTTGATGTTTTCCCTGTCACGCTGCGTATCTAGCACCGTGCATACCGGTCGAAACCCAGAGTAGCGGACATCACCGATGATTTCGCAAAACTGGAGTCAGCAATAAATCGACAATGGACAGTGTGAACCGAGTTTTTTTCAATTTCAAAACAAATAAATGCGTTCGATTTTATACCTTCTGTCCTCAGTAAGGACTCGAAGGATGGCTTTATTCACATCCAGATAAACCTAAAATTCAGAAAACACGCGTGTTTTCGCAGCCAGTAGATGATAAATCGCTCAACGAAACACCTGTTTTAGATGAGTAGTGTTTTGCGATTTTAGGCGAGTAAGCATCCTAGTTTTGCCAATGACGATGACTTTGGAGGCTTGATGTTCGGAAGCATCAAGCTTGAAGAATGTTATCGGTCATTTCAGAGTAGTGTTACAATGCTGAAGGAATCCACCCAGTGTTTTGGTGTCTTGAATTCTCTTGAGGATGATATTCCATGGGAAAATGCCTGTGCACAATCAAAATATTTGTCA